TAGACCAGTCTATAGTCTTGACTATAGACCAGTCTATAGTCTTGACTATAGACCAGTCTATAGTCTTGACTATAGACCAGTCTATAGTCTTGACTATAGACCAGTCTATAGTCTTGACTATAGACCAGTCTATAGTCTTGACTATAGACCAGTCTATAGTCTTGACTATAGACCAGTCTATAGTCTTGACTATAGACCAGTCTATAGTCTTGACTATAGACCAGTCTATAGTCTTGACTATAGACCAGTCTATAGTCTTGACTATAGACCAGTCTATAGTCTGACTATAGACCAGTCTATAGTCTTGACTATAGACCAGTCTATAGTCTTGACTATAGACCAGTCTATAGTCTTGACTATAGACCAGTCTATAGTCTTGACTATAGACCAGTCTATAGTCCTGACTATAGACCAGTCTATAGTCCTGACTATAGACCAGTCTATAGTCTTGACTATAGACCAGTCTATAGTCTTGACTATAGACCAGTCTATAGTCTTGACTATAGACCAGTCTATAGTCTAGACTATAGACCAGTCTATAGTCTTGACTATAGACCAGTCTATAGTCTTGACTATAGACCAGTCTATAGTCTTGACTATAGACCAGTCTATAGTCTTGACTATAGACCAGTCTATAGTCTTGACTATAGACCAGTCTATAGTCTTGACTATAGACCAGTCTATAGTCTTAACTATAGGCCTATTATAGTATTGTCTATAGGTCTTGAATATAGACCCGTCTATAGTATTGACTATAAATCAGTCTATAGCACTGACTATATATTTAAGAACAGTCTTATTGTCTTGATGTATAATAAACCTTAGATATAACAACTGTTTTTTCGCACAGTGCAAATTGATAAGGAATTTAATGTTAATGATAAGAGTTCTGTGAATTATTTCTTGAATAAGGGAAATAACCGCTAATACAATATCATATCTTTTTATTGGCTACTACATACTTGATATTTAAAATGTATACTACATACTTTCATTTGGCAGTGTTAATATAAGATTCGGACTACTAAGTAAGTAAATACATATTTTATTAATTTATAATTTGTATTAAACTTTTACGAAATATTTTCACTTTCAGCCATTTACGCCTTTTTCAAATTCTCTTTAAACATGTCAGAATTGAAAAAAGATGATGATTTCAAGCCAAAGTATATTCCCAATGCAACAACAATAACGAATGAAAATTTGGATATGTTCCCTAATGTCAAGTATTTTTTCGAAATGCTTGTCAAAGATACCAAAATAGAAAGTAAACATGTTGGCAGATCATTTCAATATGATGAAAGTGTTGAGAAAAATCGTTATTTTTCAGCCCATGGACTATTTATGGACTATTTTATACGAAAACATTTGTCCAATCAGTATAATATTAAAATAATGGATGTGCGTACTGAATACATTCTGGAAAATTCTGATAATTTCATTGTTGGAACAAATGAAACATTGCGGAATGCAATTGAGGAACATTACGAAATATTTAAAGATTCAAACACCAAGGCCATGGACATAATAAAAAGTATTAAAACTGTATCACTATCACATCTAATATTTTTTGGATACAATATACCGAAAAGTGATTATATTGTAAATGAGAATAATTTGCGAGAAATTATTCGTTATTTGGAACGACTTCCCTATAAGTCGGTCCACTTAAATCCCGGACTATACTGTGAATATTTTAATGCAGATGCCGATTTAATATTTGACAATGATGTTATATACGAAATAAAGACCTCTAAATTTAAATCCCTTACACGCGGTGAGTTCATCATACCGTTAAGTAAGTTTTATCAAACGATTATCTATGGATTTGGTTTCTACAAGATAACGGGCATAAAAGTAAAGAGATTTAAAATCTACAACCCCTTATTGGGTGATGAGTTCTCAATTGAGTTGGATAATATCGATTTCGAGTTATTCGAAAAAGTTCTTAAACGAGATGTTGCAGTTTACAGTCGTTACAAGGATCTTGTAATTAATGAAATGATTTTAGATTTTTCATTATTTAATGAGAATAAAAATGAAGAGGAGAAATAAATAATAATATTGTTATACATTTAAGTATTTGTTTAATTTAATTCTTGTTAAGAAATGTGCCGTAAAAGGAATGCTACCCTATAAACATCAGGGTGATATTTGAAATATAACTTAAATCAATTATTATTATTTTATATACATAGTATGTATGTATCTATGTATGTATATATGCCATCAGATTTTAATATGCCTCCAAATTTCTTTTATTATAGTTTATTACACGTGTAAGTAGTTCAATCTTTATTATTTTTCTTTATGGTTTCAATAAAACTGAATTAAAGTTCAAATAGTGTTAGCGTTGACATTTTGTAAATATTAAATATTTTCTAGTGATAATGAATTAATGAGTTAATAAACCTACACGTGACCAAAAGGTTAAAGAACATCTTAATAAGTGTAATTTATACACATAGTATATCCCGCAATAAAAATATTCAAGAAAGATTCTACTGGGGGAAAGGAGGTTAAATGTAATAATTGATTGGCAGTTTTTTAGTGATTACACTTAATTGATTAAGTGTTATTTTAAATAACGTTAATATTTTGGTTTTATTATTCCATCACTTTAATACAAATAAATATTACCAGTGGAAAAATAATGTTATTTTTTCAATTGGTGGAAAATAAAAATTAATCTAAATCTTATTTTTTCTATTTATTTATCTATCTATCTATCTATCTATCTATCTATCTATCTATCTATCTATCTATCTATCTATCTATCTATCTATCTATCTATCTATCTATCTACCTATCTATCTATCTATCTATCTATCTATCTATCTATCTATCTATCTATCTATCTATCTATCTATCTATCTATCTATCTATCTATCTATCTATCTATCTATCTATCTATCTATCTATCTATCTATCTATCTATATATCTATCTATCTATCTATCTATCTATCTATCTATCTATCTATCTATCTATCTATCTATCTATCTATCTATCTATCTATCTATCTATCTATCTATCTATCTATCTATCTATCTATCTATCTATCTATCTATCTATCTATCTATCTATCTATCTATCTATCTATCTATCTATCTATCTATCTATCTGTCTATCTGTCTATCTATCTATCTATCTTATTGGTCTACTTTACTACACTTATATTTTCAACTTATTTCATTTCTTTTCATACATCTTTATATACATATATGTATCACCCTGTTATAAATATGACGATTAAACACAGCTTGATAGTGAAATTTTTAATGAATTTTTATAACAAGCAGAAAAAGAAAATAATAATGTGGAACAAAAACAAAAAAAAAACAATATATCTGAATATTTATAAAATATTATAACCTATTTATAATAAAAAATAAACTGTTTTATTTAAAACTATATACTAATTAATACAACTCTGCTTGTTAAGCCTGAAAAATTTTCGTCGCCGGCGTTTTAGAAATTTATTCTGCGGCTATTCGTAGTTGGACCGGCGCAGGTCTCTGAAGAAAAAATAGAATTCTTTTGCTGAATGATTAATAAAATATTGCTTAAAAATTGCATATTAATTAAATAAAAATTAAAGAAATTTGTGTGTTTAAAATAAAAACAAGTGCTTTTAAAATTTTAGCACTTTATTCTGTAATAATTGTGATAAAATCTCTAAAGAAATATTAAATTTTCATAACATTTTTAACAAGGGGTGTAAAGAGTGAAAAAAATAAATTTGCAAATTCTATTTTTTGCATATTTTGTACGTCAAAATATTTAATGAAATTTTAAACAAGTGCTAAAGAAAAAAGGCCAGAAATTTTAATAAAACTAAAGAAAATGGAAGCTTTAATTCCGGTGATTAATAAACTACAAGATGTATTCAATACAGTTGGCTCCGATTCCATACAATTACCGCAAATTGTGGTCTTGGGCAGTCAGGTAAGCAAAAATAAAGATTATCAAAAAAATCTACTCAAGTACCTAAACTGATAGGTTTTTGTTTAATTGATTGTTTTGTAAAATTAATAGTTATATAATTTTTAAGTTACCGGCACACATGTCTAGAGCAGTTTTTATGCATTTTTCTATAATTTTGTAAGTTTTACTTAAAAAAAAAATCATGTTTTTTTGCCAGGTTTATGTAACAATAAATGACAAATGTTTTGATTCTGGTCTTTTAAGGAGGCGAAAAATGTAGAACGCGAAAGTAGAAAAAATCAATAATTCGCTTTGAAATGTAGGATGAAAAATATTCACACATACTTTTGGATACATATAAACATTTGTCTTGATAGGAGGGGGGCAAAGGCAAAAAACAACATTGTTTCGTTTTGTTATAAGTACCTATTTTTGTTGCTTTTGACGTGTCTAGTCACTAGACTCTAGTGTGTGCACTAAATGGGAATTTGTTGTTGTTTATTTTTGGTTTAGGGAGGTCTAATAATCAGCCGGCATTGTTGTGTTTATTTTAAATACAAACAATGTTATGTCTAAATTAATTGAAATTTGTATTAACACATTTACAGTAGATTTGGATATAATGATACAAAATTTTGCAGTGTAGTTTAAAATTTATAGTTCTAGTCGTAAATAAAGACAAGATAAGAGCCTAAACAATAGTCCTAAATTTGTTCAACACAATAGTCTAAACAATAACCAAAACTATAGACAAAACTAGGTATGACTAGGGTTCTATAAATCGACTTTCGAATAATCGAACAATCGACTTTTTGTCGAAAAGTCGAAGTTGACTATTTTGTTCCAAAAAAGTCGATAACATATTTTATAAAAAAAAGAAGACACTTGTAAATTTAATATGAAAACTAATGAAAACTTAAATTAAAAACAAAAAAATGTATTTTAATTTATACTAATTAATAAATAGAATATTTTAATGTTTATATTTATAAAAATTATATTAATTATTTTGCATCAGCTGTTTACACTTTTGCATTTCGTGCTTAAGTTTAAAATACCTCCATTGGGCGCTTAAACTCGCAAACTAAATAATACAAATAAATATTCCCAGTGGAAAATTAATGTTATTTTTTCAATTGGTGGAAAATAAAAATTAATCTAAATCTTATTTTTCTATTATCTATCAATCTATCTATCTATCTATCTATCTATCTATCTATCTATCTATCTATCTATCTATCTATCTATCTATCTATCTATCTATCTATCTATCTATCTATCTATCTATCTATCTATCTATCTATCTATCTATCTATCTATCTATCTATCTATCTATCTATCTATCTATCTATCTATCTATCTATCTATCAATCTATCTATCTATCTATCTATCTATCTATCTATCTATCTATATATCTATCTATATATCTATCTATCTATCTATCTATCTATCTATCTATCTATCTATCTATCTATCTATCTATCTATCTATCTATCTATCTATCAATCTATCTATTTATCTATCTATCAATCTAATCGGAATTATAAAAAATCTTTGTAGAACTAATAACAAAACGCCTTAGAACAGTCACACATTTATATCATTCTATTATTAAGCTCATTTCTCTGTTTCTTTTCTATTTTAATTCACAACTACTTTGAATTACAACTTTTATTTCCGCAGTTTATTTTAAAATTACCGCACCCTTTCTTTAAATCATTTTTCGTTTACATGTTGTTTGTTTTTTTTTATTATGTTTTCCTTCATTCTTTCTAAAATTTTTTGGTCACTGTTGTCACCTGTTAATTGTTTATTTATAATATTATTTTCAAATTCACTAATTGTTAATGGGTCAATGTTTTCAATTGATATCGTCACTTCGTTTTTTTTTTTTTTGCTTATTGATAAAAATAAATTTCATGATTTATGCTCTTTTGATTTATAAATAAAATTTTACGATAGATAAATACACACTGTTTAGTTTATTTTATGAAAATATGTTGTTATTTAAGACGTAGTCTTATAGGGAATTTTTTATTTAAAGTGGTTTTTAAAATCATGTATTTTTATTTGAGATCTAAAGCGTTTTGCTGTTACTCAATAAATTCCCTTCGGTTGGAAAAAATATTGAGTTTTTATAAGTTTTTAATTAGTCGGTCTTTATATTATGGAAATTTAAATCTTTACAGAGTTCTGGCAAAAGTTCCGTACTTGAAAGTTTGGTAGGACGTTCATTTTTGCCACGAGGAACTGGTATTGTTACACGTCGACCACTAATTTTACAACTTATACATTGTCCATTAGATGATCGCACCAATCGTTCAGCTGAAAATGGTATTTTTGCGTAAAATTATACAAAAATGTTATATTAAACACCCATTATTTACACATTTAGGCACCATGAACTTAGAAGAATGGGGTAAATTTTTACATACCAAAAAGATATTTACCGATTTCGATCAAATACGCACAGAAATTGAAGAAGAAACTGATCGTATTGCTGGCAGCAATAAAGGCATTTGTTCGGAAGCTATTAATTTGAAAATATTCTCTACACGTGTGGTAAATCTAACACTAGTCGATTTACCGGGTATAACGAAAGTCCCAGTGGGTGATCAACCCGAAGATATTGAACAACAGATCAAAGATTTGGTCTTAAAATACATAGAGAATCCCAATTCCATAATATTGGCTGTAACAGCGGCCAATACGGACATGGCAACAAGTGAAGCCTTAAAATTGGCTAAAGATGTGGATCCAGATGGTCGTCGTACTTTGGCGGTGGTGACCAAATTGGATTTGATGGATGCTGGCACAGATGCGATTGATATATTATGCGGTCGTGTTATACCCGTTAAATTGGGTATTATTGGTGTAATGAATCGTTCGCAACAGGACATTAAGGATAACAAAGATATTGAGGAGCAGTTAAAGGATGAGGCTGCTTTTCTACAACGCAAATATCCCACTTTAGCAACACGCAATGGCACACCTTATTTGGCTAAAACACTCAATCGTCTTCTCATGCATCATATTAGGGATTGTCTGCCCGATCTTAAGACTCGTGTTAATGTCATGTCCTCACAATTCCAATCACTTTTGCACTCGTACGGTGAAGATGTTTCGGATAAAAGTCAAACCCTTTTGCAAATTATAACTAAATTTGCCAGCGCTTATTGCTCCACCATTGAGGGCACAGCACGTAATATTGAGACCACTGAACTGTGTGGTGGTGCTCGCATTTGTTATATTTTCCATGAAACCTTCGGACGCACACTCGATTCTATACATCCTCTGTCGGGCCTTAGTAAAATGGATATACTAACGGCCATACGTAATGCTACTGGACCCAGACCGGCACTGTTCGTGCCCGAAGTCTCTTTCGAACTGCTAGTCAAAAGACAAATACGAAGGTTAGAGGAACCTTCTTTACGTTGTGTCGAATTGATACATGAAGAAATGCAGCGTATAGTGCAACACTGTGGCAATGAAGTGCAACAGGAAATGTTGAGGTAAGTTTTACTTAATTACTTACTTACTTACTTACTTACTTCCTTACTTACTTACTTACTTACTTACTTACTTACTTACTTACTTACTTACTTACTTACTTACTTACTTACTTACTTACTTACTTACGTACTTACTTACTTACTTACTTACTTACTTACTTACTTACTTACTTACTTACTTACTTACTTACTTACTTACTTACTTACTTACTTACTTACTTACTTACTTACTTACTTACTTACTTACTTACTTACTTCTACTTACTACTTACTTACTTACTTACTTACTTACTTACTTACTTACTTACTTACTTACTTACTACTTACTTACTTACTTACTTACTTACTTACTTACTACTTACTTACTTACTTTACTTACTTACTTACTTACTTACTTACTTACTACTTACTTACTTACTTACTTACTTACTTACTTACTTACTTACTTACTTACTTACTTACACTTACTTACTTACTTACTTACTTACTTACTTACTTACTTACTTACTTACTTACTTACTTACTTACTTACTTACTACTTACTTACTACTTACTTACTACTTACTTACTTACTTCTTACTTACTTACTTACTTCTTACTTACTTACTTACTTACTTACTTACTTACTTACTTACTTACTTACTTACTTACTTACTTACTTACTTACTTACTTACTTACTTACTTACTTACTACTACTGACTTACTTACTTACTGACTTACCTTACTTACTTACGTACTTACTTACTTACTTAACTTACTTACGTACTTACTTACTTACTTACTTACTTACTTACTTACTTACGTACTTACTTACTTACTTAACTTGACTTACTTACTTACGTACTTACTTACTACCTACTTACTTACTTACTTACTTACTTACTTACGTACTTAACTTACTTACTTACCTTACTTGACTTACTTACTACTTACTTACTTACTTCTTACTTACTTACTTACTTACTTACTTACTTATTTAGTAGATTCCCTAAACTGCACGAGAAAATTGTGGATGTGGTAACCACTCTGTTGCGTCGTCGCTTACCAGCCACTAATGTCATGGTTGAGAATTTAGTGGCCATCGAATTGGCCTATATCAATACCAAACATCCAGATTTTCATAAAGATGCCGCCTTAGTGCCTAGTCTCTTAAAGGCCGATAATATTATGGACCCTTATGGTCATCAACAGCAAAGACGTTCGAATACTCCCAGAGCGGTAAATTCCTCACCCCAAGTAATGGCACAACAGCAACAACAACAAAGAGAACAACAGCAACAACAACAGCAGCAACAAAATAACTTGGAACAAGTAAGTTTTCTTTCAAGATAGTGACTGATTTTCTTTCTTAATTTCCTTCCTTGTGTTTTAGAATCATGTCAACGAAAACTCAACACCCTCACATCCCAATAACTGGCTATCGAATATTTTACCTCCAGCCCCTACAAATAACCGTATTGAAAGTATTGAAAACTCTAATCAAAATACTCCACTACACAATGCTATGGTCAGTCCAGTTAAACCGGTTAATCTTTTACCCGATTTACCGGTGCATCAAAACTCCAGGCGTTTAACTGATAAAGAACAAAAGGATTGTGATGTTATTGGTAATACGAACGATTAAAACAAATAATTGAAGCTTTTTTCTAATGTTTGCAATTTATACTATTATTACAGAACGTTTGATTAAATCATATTTCTATATTGTGCGAAAATCCATACAAGATTCTGTACCAAAGGCCATTATGCATTTTCTAGTTAATTATGTTAAGGATAATTTACAAAGTGAATTAGTAACACATTTGTATAAATCGGAAAAAGTCGATACTTTACTCAACGAATCGGATCACATTGCCGTACGTCGAAAAGAAGCTGGTGATATGTTGAAGGTAAGTCCATGAATAACAATAATAATTACAAACATTTAACTCAAATTTTTTATTTTTCTTTTCAGGCCTTAACTCGTGCCAATCATATTATTAGCGAAATACGTGAAACCCACATGTGGTAGAGATACAATTTTACGCATTCACTTCGTACAATTTCATAAGAAAATAAATATCATCAATAAAAAAATACTACAATAACTACTACATAATTGTTCGAAAGTTAATATCTTGACGTAGGAGTTCAAAGGACGGATAATGTTATTATTGTTGTTCTTATTTTAAACTTGTCTTAATATTTTAATGAAACTTTAAAAACGTTGACGTTTAGTTTCATTATACATACATTTATTTTGCTTTTAATTTTCTTTCTTTTTTTATTATTTATGAAAACATCCATATATTTGTCTATTTCATTAAATTAAATAATTCATTTATACACTCTTCAACAGATACTCTTTAAAACAAAAACACTTCTTTTTTTTTCTTTAATTTTATTCAAATACAGTTTTTATGGTTGCCTTATTTAGTTACTGGTCTAAACGCTAAAAACAAGAAATTAAAGTATAAAATTAGTTTAAATGAATAATATAAACAAATTTGCATACTCCACAAGGTTTTGCTAAAATAAATAATGTCTAAAAAATTTATATTAAAGGATTACTAGATAGCAAAATTTGTCTAAAGTATTCTAGTCAAGGTATGTATTAATGCACGATTAACTGTTCGATTTTAAACGTCAAAATTTTCGAGAAAAGAAAAGGTCCTTCTTACTTATTTATTTACTTACTTACGTACTTACGTACTTACTACTACGGACGGACGTACTACTACGGACTTACTACTGACGACTACTGACTACTGACGACTTACGACTTACTTCTTGACTTACGTACGGACTTACGTACGACGTGTACTACTACGTACTTGACTGTACTTACTTACGTACTGACGTACTGTACTTACTTACTTACTTAACGTACTTACTTACTACTTACTTACTTACTTACTACTACTTATTACTTACTTACTTACTTACTTACTTTCTTACTTACTACTTACTTACTTACTTACTTACTTACTCACGCACTTACTCACTTGGAGATTATACTGTTATGTTTCTTGACCGGTTCTTGACTGAGGACATCTGTAAGCAACCTGTAACGTTCCTGAGGGCAGCATTAACATAGACACTGGTAAAGGAGTGTACCGTAGTAGACCAATGTTTTTCTTCGGATATGATAAAACATTCAACATTTTTTCAAACTAACTACCAAACATGTATTTCATTTTGCGACTCCAAAAAGTATGCGAATTCTGAATCCTTATAGATCGAGAAGTCCATTTTGCTACATATATTTATTGAAATCAAGTTCCTGAAGACGCCAGATATCCATAGACATAGGAGATATGAACAAAATTCCGAAAAATCTCATGATTTTAATTTTAATATAATATTTCGGATACTAATTCTTATACATGGTAATATGTCTATTAAAAGAAAGATATTCGGATGACCATTCATTTAATATACATTTTCTGAGGAAAATACCATTCGAGATATATCCAAAAATATCTAGCTATTTAATTGGTATCGTTTCTACTATTTTCCAGAAAATAAAATAAACTAAAATCCTTGGAATCTACCTACATCTACCTGTCTTGTCGATATCTCTTATGAATAATACTAGCTATGTACATACATATCTGCTTCATCCTATCAATAAAAGCGAGAGATTTCCGAGGGCCTTTTTTTCGCCTACTCTTTTTGACGGCTAACCATTGAAATATCTATTGGAGGCAAATACCTCCCATTGTCCATTATTATTAACATTGTCCCAAATTTTTTTAACGTAATATGTTATCTCTAAATGAGCTTAGCTCCTCCTCCTCTTAACAACACAAAACAGTGCAAAAACACATTTAATTTGTAGAGAAAAAAGAACAAAACACTTTTAATACTTTTTAAGTCCAAAAATCGCCTACAATTTACATAGCCACATGCGGAAACATAGTGCTCTCTTCATGGGGATGTAGGTATACAGCAACTTTTGTTTACATACAAAATCATACAATTATGACAAGACAAAAAAATCCATAAAAAATTTTATAAATTACAATTACATTAACAATTCCACTTTAACTATCGATCGTTCTTTGACAAGTGATTTATGCACGATTAGTGTCCGATAGTACACGCACAATACAGCCAACACCGCCCTTAGCAAAAGCTTTTTCATGCCACTGCAGTAAATGACCACTCGAACCCTCCGAAGGAATCTCAAAGCCGCGATAGATGTATTTCATTAAAACATCTAATAGATCGTTTTCATTTAAGGTCTCAACAGCCTGATCCATCTGTGAGGATTTTATAGATAGCAAAACCCTTAAAGTTAAGTTAAGGGCGTGGTCCTGTAAACGACAAAGTGGGCGTTAGTTTTTTTGTAGTATTTTGTTTTTTCCTGCCTAAGACTTACCTTGACATGCTGCTGTTTACATCTTAGGGGAGCATTTTGTAAAACCAAAAGCAAAGCCTCTATATACTTGCCCTGTGTTAGCAAAGTGGTAATTTCATTTTCATCGAGTTGTGCCACAGCGGAATCGGCTTCGTCTTCTCTGAAATTGTCTTCATTATATTGATCAACATCGATTTTACGGAATGCAGAGCTGGAGGTATTTTTGGCCATTGTTATAAACAGTCTTTTTTATGTTGTTATTAAAATTTTCAGGGAATATTTTAAATAATTCCTTTTAATTTTTAGTTTTTAGTATTTTTTTACAAAGATAAAAACAATTGTAAATGAATCACTTATAAAATCAAGAAGAGGAATTGCCGAATATGGAGCAAAGAGCTGCGGCGTTCAAATTTAAAGGCGGCGGCTTAAAATCATCTTTGTCAAAATGACATTCAACTTGGAAAAAAATAACAATAACATGGCTGTGTTTCATAATTATATGAAAAATGCAACTCTGTAAATAATTGTGTTGTTGTTTTTGTAAATTGTCAAAAACCAGCTGTTTGTTTGAACGTTTTCGCAGCACCGTCTAGCAGACAGGTAAAATATTTCGATATTTTCTTGAAAATTTTAGAAATTATTAACTAAATTGTTCTTTTTATTACATTTAGGAAAATGTCAAAGTATCTGGGCCTGGACCGTTTGGGTAAACTATATCAGATTGTACGCCAAAATGGTGGTCTGAAAAATACCTACTTGAAATTATATAGGCAAGTATATGTTCCAAATTCTTATATAATTTTTATTTGTAAATGTTTTGTTTAATTTTTGCCAAATATTTTTGTTATTTGCAGAACCGATGATTTGAAATTGGGCACCCTGGTGGGCACTGATAAATATGGTAATAAATATTACGAGAATCCCTATTATTTCTATGGCAGAAATCGTTGGGTAGAATTTTCCGATGTCGCCGGCATGGACTATGATGGCTCTCAAATACCCGCTGATTGGTTCGGTTGGATGCATTATAAGGTGAGTTTGAAAGGAGAATGGATGTTATTTGTGTTTTCTGAATATAAAATCTTGTTGTTTTCAGACCGATCTTCCACCAATTCGTGACGGTAATCGCCCCAAATACAAGTGGATGGCTGATCACAGTGAGAACCATTCCGGAACTCAAGGTAAGTGTGTTTTAGAACTAGAACTAAACATGAACTGAAATAGAACTGAACTAGAAATAAACTAGAACTGTACTAGAATTTATAGTCTAGAAATTAACCAGTACTAAACTGAACTAGAACTAAACTGGAATTGAACTGTATTAAAATTAAATAGAACGTCTGATATGTAAATTATTGACCATTATTTACTTGATACTAAAAATTTTCTTTTCTTTATTTTTCTAGAGGCATACATGCCCTACAGTACCACTCGGCCAAAGATTGAAGCCTGGGATCCTAAAAAGTCGGGCAACAAGTAAAAATCGCTCGCACTAGTGTTCCGAAACAAGAAAAGTTTTCTGTGTAGTTTAAATATAGAAATAAATTTGTTGAAAATATAAAAATAATGCAATGAAACGCAAATAATAAAACAAAAGATCATTTCTTTTACAAACTCTTAAATTTAAATTTTTTATTAAAAAAATCACACAGTAAAAAAAACATAACTTAACATTAAAATACATATTTACAAAAGTGTATTGAATTAAATTCATCCTTATTACCGTTTAAATTTAAACTAATTCACAACTTGCGAAGATTCCAATTGTTTTTGATGGCGTCTCTTGTACTTTTTTGAAGTATCGGAACATTTAGTGGTGATGGCTGCTCTAATTTCTCGTTCGGTGCACTTGAACTTGGAGCGTACGCAGTGTATGATATCGGCTGCCTTAATGGGATCCAATTGCATTTTTGCCGGTCTTTCGCGGCCATAAAAGGCGGGCGATGGTTTGCCAGTTAGAGTGTGCGTAGCCAAAACATCACTGCTAAAGACAAAACCCAAAAGTTGGCGTGTGGCCGATGCAGCTGAGGACCAAATGATGCTGTTGTAGGAAAGCACATCAACTTGTGTACCATTAGGGCCCAAAATAATGTTTTCATCAACTTGTTGAGGATATTGCTGGCTTTGCTCCTCCTCTGGCAACGACATGTCCTCATCATCCACGGAAAATTCTTGATCGTCATCAATTATTTTGCGTTTGGCAGAAACTTTTTGGCATCTCTTAAATCTGGTATTTTCTTGTTCGCCGGAAGAGGAAGACGAGGGCGATGCAGAAGATAAGGGTAGCGGTGGCGAAGAAGATGCTGAGGATATACCCGACGACGTATTGGAAAAGGCATAATTATGATCCGCTAAAAAGGCCGGAACTTTGGGTGATATTTGCTCTTCCTCCGTGGAATGTGTTTTGCAATTTTCCGTTATTTGATTGATGATAACTTTTAGACGTTCAAACATGGATGTACTTTGTGACTGACGTTGTACAAGTAAATCTATACGCAAATCAAAGCCTATATAATGTGCCATTTTCGAATCAGCTGCAGATAGATTTTTATCTAAGATTTCTTGCAAAGTCATGTTTGGATATTTATTATAGGAAAATGTATTTAATTTTAGTTTACTCTCGAAGATGTTCTAAACTGAACTGTGCTCTATTCATTCAAATGTCTGGTATATATAGCAAAAACACTAAACTCCTGTCGCTGTTCTAACTAACTAGCAACCTGTCCTTTTTCTAAGCTAACAGGTATTTTAGGTATTTATTGTTATTTTTACAATCCATATAGAGTATGTATGTATGTCCGTCTATCTACTGATTTGCATTTTAACTAATCCTTTAGTCTACCTGTTTAGTTTAACTAGTTGCACCTTTTAAGAACAGATGCTACTTACTTGCACACACATTTTCGGATTGGATCGTGAACGCGTATTAATTGTAGTTGTTGGTGACATAAAAAAAAACAAAGAACAACATTTATGACATGAATGATCTTGAATGTGCACAATAATGCAAAAATCTCTGCATAAACTTCAATGATCTTTATTAACACTTGTTGTTGGTTGTTTGATCGGTCGGTCGGTTAGTTGGTAGAACGTTCAGTTGTACATGAGACCACCAACCGTTTTGTTATGTTCTGTGGGCGTGTATGAATGACAATATGTTTGTATACCTTGAGCGGTATAACGCTTTACCAAACAAAGTAGAGGATCCTTCAAAGAAATCATACTTTTTTCTTTTGTATTTGAAGATCATTGTATTCGAATTATTTTTCATAATCTTTTTTCTAAACTTACACTTTGCATCTGCTCAGCGGACTATAGAAGTACATATTCCACACACAAAAAACATGGTATATGTTTAGACAAAAGCAACAGGATTTTAAATGGTTATACATATATTTAAAATCTATTATTTAAATACGTGTGTATATTTACAATATATAATATTTTTTGCAATAGAAACTTTAACTTTTTTTGTTTTTACAATTTGCGTCTTAAATTACATTTAAATTTAATTATTATATATTCTAATTTAATTATTATTAGTAATTTGTATATTATTTAAACTAGCTAAAGTTTTTAAGTAAACGATTCTTTGTCGTACTCGAGATTTTCTCACATCCAATTTATGCAAGGTCTGTAATAAAAATTGACCTTCTTTTTGCATCACTAGCTCCAATTGTTGTAGTTTCCTAAAGGTTTCTTCTCTTTTCTGACCGAGAAATATAGAGTTATTCTGGAATGATATTGAAAATTTTAAATTTTTTAGATATTTCGACAGATAGATAGGTAGATAGATAGATAGATAGATAGATAGATAGATAGATAGATAGATAGATAGATAGATAGATAGATAGATAGATAGATAGATAGATAGATAGATAGATAGATAGATAGATAGATAGATAGATAGATAGATAGATAGATAGATAGATAGATAGATAGATAGTAGATAGATGATATAGATATATAGGTAGATAGATACATAGATAGATAGGTAGATAGATAGATAGATAGATAGATAGATAGATAGATAGATAGATAGATAGATAGATAGATAGATAGATAGAGATAGATAGATAGATAGATAGATAGATAGATAGATAGATAGATAGATAGATAGATAGATAGATAGATAGATAGATAGATAGGTAGATACATAGATAGATAGATAGATAGATAGATACATAGATATATAGATAGATAGATAGATAGATAGATAGATAGATAGATAGATAGATAGATAGATAGATAGATAGATAGATAGATAGATAGATAGGTAGTAGATAGATAGATAGATAGATAGATAGATAGGTAGATAGATAGATAGATAGATAGATAGATAGATAGATAGATAGATAGATAGATAGATAGATAGATAGATAGATAGATAGATAGAGATAGATAGATAGATAGATAGATAGATAGATAGATAGATAGATAGATAGATAGATAGATAGATAGATAGATAGATAGATAGATAGTAAGTAGATAGATAGAGATAGATATAGATAGATAGATAGATAGATAGATAGATAGATAGATAGATAGATAGATAGATAGATAGATAGATAGATAGATAGATAGATAGAGATAGATAATAGATAGAGATAGATAGATAGATAGATAGATAGATAGATAGATAGATAGATAGATAGATAGATAGATAGATAGATAGATAGATAGATAGATAGATAGATAGATAGATAGGATAGATATAGATAGATAGATAGATAGATAGATAGATAGATAGATAGATAGATAGATAGATAGATAGATAGATAGATAGATAGATAGATAGATAGATAGATAGATAGATAGATAGTAGTAGATAGATAGAGATAGATAGATAGATAGATAAGATAGATAGATAGATAGATAGATAGATAGATAGATAGATAGATAGATAGATAGATAGATAGATAGATAGATAGATAGATAGATAGATAGAAGTAGATAGATAGATAGATAGATAGATAGATAGATAGATAGATAGATAGATAGATAGATAGATAGATAGATAGATAGATAGATAGATAGATAGATAGAGATAGATAGATAGATAGATAGATAGATAGAGATAGATAGATAGATAGATAGATAGATAGATAGATAGATAGATAGATAGATAGATAGATAGATAGATAGATAGATAGATAGATAGATAGATAGATAGATAGATAGATAGATAGATAGATAGATAGATAGATAGATAGATAGATAGATAGATAGATAGATAGATAGATAGATAGATAGATAGATAGATAGATAGATAGATAGATAGATAGATAGATAGATAGATAGATAGATAGATAGATAGATAGATAGATAGATAGATAGATAGATAGATAGATAGATAGATAGATAGATAGATAGAGATAGATAGATAGATAGATAGATAGATAGATAGATAGATAGTAGATAGATAGATAGATAGTAGATAGATAGATAGATAGATAGATAGATAGATAGATAGATAGATAGATAGATAGATAGATAGATAGATAGATAGATAGATAGATAGATAGATAGATAGATAGATAGATAGATAGATAGATAGATAGATAGATAGATAGATAGATAGATAGATAGATAGATAGATAGATAGATAGATAGATAGATAGATAGATAGATAGATAGATAGATAGATAGATAGATAGATAGATAGATAGATAGATAGATAGATAGATAGATAGATAGATAGATAGATAGATAGATAGATAGATAGATAGATAGAGATAGATAGATAGATAGATAGATAGATAGATAGATAGATAGATAGATAGTAGATAGATAGATAGATAGATAGATAGATAGATAGATAGATAGATAGATAGATAGATAGATAGATAGATAGATAGTAAGTAGATAGATAGATAGATAGATAGATAGAAGATAGATAGATAGATAGATAGATAGATAGATAGATAGATAGAGATAGATAGATAGAGATAGATAGATAGATAGATAGATAGATAGATAGATAGATAGATAGATAGATAGATAGATAGATAGATAGATAGATAGATAGATAGATAGATAGATAGATAGATAGATAGATAGATAGATAGATAGATAGATAGATAGTAGATAGATAGATAGATAGATAGATAGATAGATAGATAGAAGAGATAGATAGATAGATAGAGAGATAGATAGATAGATAGATAGATAGATAGATAGATAGATAGATAGATAGATAGATAGATAGATAGATAGATAGATAGATAGATAGATAGATAGATAGATAGATAGATAGATAGAAGTAGATAGATAGATAGATAGATAGATAGATAGATAGATAGATAGATAGATAGATAGATAGATAGGTAGATAATAGATAGATAGATAGATAGATAGATAGATAGATAGATAGATAGATAGATAGATAGATAGATAGATAGATAGATAGAGATAGATAGAGTAGATACATAGATAGATAGATAGATAGATAGATAGATAGATAGATAGATAGATAGATAGATAGATAGATAGATAGATAGATAGATAGATAGATAGATAGATAGAGATAGATAGATAGATAGATAGATAGATAGATAGATAGATAGATAGATAGATAGATAGATAGATAGATAGTAGTAGATAGATAGATAGATAGATAGATAGTAGATAGATAGATAGATAGATAGATAGATAGATAGATAGATAGATAGATAGATAGATAGATAGATAGATAGATAGATAGATAGATAGATAGATAGATAGATAGATAGATAGATAGATAGATAGATAGATAGATAGATAGATAGATAGATAGATAGATAGATAGATAGATAGTAAGTAGAGATAGATAGATAGATAGATAGATAGATAGATAGATAGATAGATAGATAGATAGATATAGATAGATAGATAGATAGATAGATAGATAGATAGATAGATAGATAGATAGATAGATAGATAGATAGATAGATAGAGATAGATAGATAGATAGATAGATAGATAGATAGATAGATAGATAGATAGATAGATAGATAGATAGATAGATAGATAGATAGATAGATAGATAGATAGATAGATAGATAGATAGATAGATAGATAGATAGATAGATAGATAGATAGATAGATAGATAGATAGATAGATAGATAGATAGATGATAGATAGATAGATAGATAGATAGATAGATAGATAGATAGATAGATAGATAGATAGATAGATAGATAGATAGATAGATAGATAGATAGATAGATAGATAGATAGATAGATAGATAGATAGATAGATAGATAGGTAAGTAGATAGATAGATAGATAGATAGATAGATAGAGATAGATAGAAGTAGATAGGTAGATAGATAGATAGATAGATAGATAGATAGATAGATAGATAGATAGATAGATAGAGTAGATAGATAGATAGATAGATAGATAGATAGATAGATAGATAGAAGATACATAGATAGATAGATAGATAGATACATAGATAGATAGATAGATAGATAGATAGATAGATAGATAGATAGAGTAGATAGATAGATAGATAGATAGATAGATAGATAGATAGATAGATAGATAGATAGATAGATAGATAGATAGATAGATAGATAGATAGATAGATAGATAGATAGAGATAGATAGATAGATAGATAGATAGATAGATAGATAGATAGATAGATAGATAGATAGATAGATAGATAGATAGATAGATAGATAGATAGATAGATAGATAGATAGATAGATAGATAGATAGATAGATAGATAGATAGATAGATAGATAGATAGAATAGATAGATAGATAGATAGATAGATAGATAGATAGATAGATAGATAGATAGATAGATAGATAGATAGATAGATAGATAGATAGATAGATAGTAGATAGATAGATAGATAGATAGATAGATAGATAGATAGATAGATAGATAGATAGATAGATAGATAGATAGATAGATAGATAGATAGATAGATAGATAGATAGATAGATAGATAGATAGATAGATAGATAGATAGATAGATAGATAGATAGATAGATAGATAGATAGATAGAAGTAGATAGATAGATAGATAGATAGATAGATAGATAGATAGATAGATAGATAGATAGATAGATAGATAGATAGATAGATAGATAGATAGATAGATAGATAGATAGATAGATAGATAGATAGATAGATAGATAGATAGATAGATAGATAGATAGATAGATAGATAGATAGATAGATAGATAGATAGATAGATAGATAGATAGATAGATAGATAGAGAGTAGATAGATAGATAGATAGATAGATAGATAGATAGATAGATAGATAGAAATAGATAGTGATAGATAGATAGATAGAAGTAGATAGATAGATAGATAGATAGATAGATAGATAGATAGATAGATAGATAGATAGATAGATAGATAGATAGATAGATAGATAGATAGATAGATAGATAGATAGATAGATAGATAGATAGATAGATAGATAGATAGATAGATAGGTAGATAGATAGATAGATAGATAGATAGATAGATAGATAGATAGATAGATAGATAGATAGATAGATAGATAGATAGATAGATAGAGATAGATAGATAGATAGATAGATAGATAGATAGATAGATAGATAGATAGAGATAGATAGATAGATAGATAGATAGATAGATAGATAGATAGATAGATAGATAGATAGATAGTAGGAGTAGATAGATAGATAGATAGATAGATAGATAGATAGATAGAGATAGATAGAGATAGAGATAGATAGATAGATAGATAGATAGATAGAT